TTGTTGATATTGATGCTTCTGAAACAATAGATTTTGCAATAAATCTCAATAAAATAATTCAATATCCTGAGTTTACATGGGAACCTGAACTTTTTCCTGGAATAATGTTTCGAGCGAATAAACAAGTGGCAATTTTCTTCTCACCTCGAAAATTTAATATTGTTGGTTCAAAGTCAATGGAAACCCTAGAAAATTTCTATTACGAGTTTATTAATACCTTGAGAAGACGTGTCAACGGTGATTAAACCTATCCCATACACTCAATCTTAAAAATTACATGTGATGCTTTTTCGAAAGTTCGAAATTTGCTTAACAATTCTCCTACTTCTCTTGAGCTTCGCTTCAAGACGAGTAGGCCAATGGAAATTTTTTTCGAAAATGTCTCCTTCTATGAGAAAAATGACTTCGAAAATTTCGAATTTACGAACTTTCTGTATCTCAGAAACTATTCAACCGATTTTCTGGTGCAATATATCACTCAAAAGCTCTTAAAAGTTATGTATAATGCATATATTAAAAGTTGCAAAAAGTTTATAGGTTGAGCAGAATTCCTATAAAACCATAAATGCGCACTGTACCGAGATAGCAATACATAACTTACAGTAAATCAATCCTAGTTTTAGTTATAATTTATTGTATATCGATCAAATATGAATAATTGTATGTAATACATTTATTGTTTTATATTGAAAAACGTTTATTATTGAGATTATAATCAGAGTTTAACACATATTTCTAACATGTCTTTTTAAATCTTCAACAATGTTATATGTACATTTAAATTGTTTTGATTGATCATGGAATCGACAAGGACGACGTCCAGTGTCAATATCATCATGATTTACATTAAAATCATTCAAATTCAGATTGGGTAATGAATAAAAGTCCAATAACTCGGCAGCTTCTTTTGATTTACAAGCAATATAAATCGATGGTTCAGCCAATACTCGATTGTAGATCTTTTTAAGATCCCATCTAAGTCTTTTGAAGTGAATTCCTCCGTCCGTAATTTCCAGTCCATGATAATACTTGGTTAAATAAGTTATATTTTTTTGTTCTTGTTTAGTAGGGTTACAATTACAAGATTTTTTAACTTTTACATGATAAATATCTTTTTTGGTTATCATACATACCTCTGCAGGATGAAAGAGACCATTAATATAAAATCCCTGAACATCAAAGTATGCACAAAATATATCCATGATTATATATTTGAATGATGATACGCTTTATATAACTATCGGTTTACGTAGAACAAGTTTACAATAGAGGTGAAAACTTCTGGGTTTTCGTAAGCAAATTTGTTGAGAGCTTCAAAATCAATAGGACGAATACCTGAATTATCTCGAATACCCAAGATTTCCAACATATTTTCACAATCTTTTGGATTAGTAGATATAGCCCACTTTTTTTCCAATAAATCGTTTTTATCAGTACTTTTTGACACAATAAACAAGTCAAACAACTGATCCTTCTCTTTTATATCTCCACAGAGATATTTTGCAGCAGGAATAAAAGGAGAAACCTTTTTCCAAAACGATGAAGTTGTAAGGACTTGTGACCCTTTCTTCAACCAAAAGTTCGCTCGAGCAGCTTTTTCAATTGATAGATGATAAAATCATTACCTGTAATTGATAGACTCCATTTTGTTTATGAGCTCTATGATGATACATTGATCAATAATTAAAAATATGAATTATTTAATTTTTTGTTTTTCCCGCCATTTATAACTCGGTAAATGATGATGAGAGAGAGAAAAAAAGAAAGAGTAAAATTTGTTCCAGAGGTGGTATTATATCACTACTAGCACCTTTAGAAAACACAATGGATCAGATTCAAAATGTTCTCAACAAGATGATGTTGGTGATGATCTGATAGAAGATGATCAACAATTATGATGATCAAGCAAACCAGCTGTAAACTTAACTAATCTTAATCAAATGTTGTATGAAATAGGAGAATAAAATAAAATCTCATATAGAGAATAATAAAAAATGGAAAAAGAAACACAAATGTAACATACCTTAGAAAAAGATAATCAATCAATTGTTTAATAGAAAATAAACTAACTACCAACAGCAGGTAATTGAATAGCCATTAAATAGATATACAAATATAATACAAAAAAGGAGATCAACTTAAAATAGACAATTAGTTAATCACAATCAGAATTAACAAAAAAACAATCAAAAGGTTTCAAAGAAAAATAAACAGAACTTCTTATGTTTTATTCTAAAGTTTCAATTTCAAGCGACAGATGGCATTAGATTAGCTTGTTATTCGAGTTAAAAAAACTTTTTAAAAAAGTTTATCGAAAGAATGAAAAAAAAGTTCGAACTTGAAAGGATAATTAAGCTGATTAATCGCTTTTATCTGAATGAAGATAAAGAAATAAGCATATTTCTCATTGCTCGAGGCCTTTGAGGATTTAAGTTTAATAATCTAAAGAAAAAAAGATTACTATTAATCTTCTGTTTCAATAAATTAATCCAAACTTTTTCTCTCTGAACTTTTTTACTTGATTCATTTCATTGACTTCGAAAATGTCTTAATTAGTTCAAGTTTCTGTAGTTTTTTTTGTTACCATTTTAATTAGCGAATGTGCTCCAATCGGAAAATTTGTTCAATTTCATAAAGATTTGGATGAATTAAAGGTAACTATTGATTTCAATCGATTCAATCATATCGATTAATCAATCAAAATTTGAATTTGAATTTGAATTGCAATTGAAGTGTCATTTGTAATTAAATTCTCAAAGATGTTGTTCTTAATTTTTTTATTTTCTTTATTTTCTTTATTTCTATTTCAGGCGAATACATCCCCAATGTCATCGTGTAATATTAACTTCCCGAATTTCACAAATATAACACAACATAATAATAACACAAATTTTTCCGTTTTTAATGTGAGCAACTTAAATGTCACCTTCATTTGTGAATCTAGTGCTCAATCCAATTTTTGGAGCGTAATTAATGCATTTGTGGGCTTATATAACCTAATTTGTAATCTCGGAAGACATTAATCAATCTCTTCTTCACCAACTTCGCCATTTTCATCCTCATCATGATCAATTTAATTTCTTGTCTCCCTTTTCCTTTTCAGTTCATCTTTTAAATGTCAATCAATTTACTTTATTTTCAAGAGAAAATTCTAGATAAAAAGGATATTCTCTTGTTCATCTATTGGGTCAATTATTATTCTTTCCATTATTGTTTCTTTTCGTGTTTTGTGTTCCATTTTTGTCTGATCTCTTCTTCTCTCAACATGGAATCAGTTGACCATCATCACCATCATCATCACTAAATGACCAACAACTCGACCTCTGTTGCTCCAGAAGGTCAATCATCATCTTCTCTATCAATGTTATTCTGTTCCAAAAGTGCGACACTTATCACTTGTTCCTCCTCATTCACCTCGGAATCAAGTTTAACCATGAGCACGGATAATCTCCTTCACCAAGAAGATCACCACCGTTTAGACAAAGAAGACCATCTTCTCAGTCACGTAAGACCTAGTATCAACTAGAGCAGAAAAATCGTAATCGTTGATTTGACCTTCATGAAAATTAAATTATTATCATCGATTGAATTGTATAGATTTTGAAGGACTGAATTTCTCGAAACCATCGAGACAACCTTGGGTCGTGACCAATTATTGTTTGGATTTTTATAACCAGAAGTTGAAGGGTAATTTGTTTCATTTTCCTTTCTCTTGTTTTCCTCATCTCTTTTCCTGGCTAAGCATTGATACTTTTGCATTACATTGCATTGATACACTTTAATCCAAAGTTATAGTCAGACAGATTATTTCCAGTTGAAATACCTTTTAATTAATAGATTCGCAATTTCAGAACACAGAAAAGAATTTATTTCAATAATTCAAAAATTCAATCAAAGATTAGATAAAACACCCTTAAGTTTTACAGTCAAACTATTAATCATGTTACATTCGCTAGGTATTAAAATACCTGATGAAATAATGATTGAAATAATTATGAATAAACTAACATACGATGTTCAATGGTTAGTTATAAGACAAAATATTGATGACATTCCAGAATTGCTTCAGTCCATTACTTTAGCTGAAAATATAGCTACTGGTAAACAACCATTACATTGATCGATCTTTCAACAAAAGTGATCGATCAATTTTTTCTCAAAAAAGATCGATCGTGTAACAAAAATGTCAACCGATCAATACTGACCTTAAATCTTATTAAAATTACTTGCACGTTTGAACCTTTAATTGCAATATTATATTATTAGAATTTTAGTCACAGTTGTCATGTTATCAAAAGAGAGACCTCTCGACTTAGAGCGGAGGGTAATGTTACAAAAATGTCAACCGATCAATACTGACCTTGGTCGCAGTCAGATATTTATGATTATTATTATTATCGTGATGACATGCAAGCTAATGGTAATGTACTTAAAATATTAATTGAACTATTGATTTCCGATTATTCGAATGTTCTAGAAGGTGATCAAGATCTTCTGATCATGATCACCTTCGTCACTCATCGTATTAAAATAATACATTGTATCAAAATGAACAACACTCTCTCTCGAGATCTTAAAGTATAAAGATTAAAAGTTGGTTTTGATTAAAAATATCTCTTTCGATCGTGATCGAGTCATTTACTCGGATCGATCCATCACTAGTATACGGATAGGCTTTTTCGACGAAAACTAGAGCAAGCGTTACAACTTTTGGCTTCGTTTATATTTGGAACCAACAGATGGCACGATGTGAGATGAAAAAGGTAATTCATATTATGACATTTATCAACACGTATTTAAGCATGTGGTTAAATACTTGATAAAAACAATTCATGTAATCTGATCTCTTTAATTATTGACAGTAATAATGAAATCATAATTCATGAATGATAATGCTGATTTGAAGTACCACATTTGAGTTGTAAACTTTCACAACTTTCACCAAATAATATAAACAGTTATATGACAAAAAGTCTTCATTTATTTCATATATAATAATATAATAGCATTTACATGGAGGTTTTTATTTACACAGATGTAACTTTTTTGTTTTAATCTTAATTGTATTTAACCCTAAGTTGGTACAGATTTATATATTGATACATAGTTCGTTAAATTGCTTAGTAATAAACTTGATTATTGTTTGTTAACCTTTGATTTTGATTAATTAATCCAACGGAAAAATACTTGTTAATACTTATTATTCCAAAAGGCTATTTATAGTAATACATAAATGAGATAATCTGTATTTAAAAGGAAGATATTGATGATTGTGGTCATGATTATAATTGGAATTATTTTACTTTGTCTATAATGATTATCGAAACTTGAGTTGACATCGTTGGCACCATTGGATCCATCTTGAGTAAAAATAAGATAAAAAGAAATGAAGTTAGATGAAAATTATCGAAAAGCTTTGTTTGAGTTTGAACAATGATTTCGTCCTAAAATCGGTCCTGATTTTATTTATTGTATTGATTGAATTTTGTGCTGATTGGTGTTAAAACTATCTACGATTTCGAGAAGACAATCAAACCTAACTGTTTATCATTATCCATGAGATTGTATCATCTCAATGGTGATTGATTCATTCAATTCCAATATTAAATCTAATTCAATGATCAACACCTAAGTTTATTATGTAACTATTCTTAATAGAATTGAAAACTATTCGAATCAACATTCATCTTACCATTTAAGTGACTTCGGCTTCTAGCATTGGTTGGATCACGACGCGCCCCTTTACCTCCAGGAACATGGATCCCTATGAATGAAAGAGAATAGAAACAATTTAATAAATTAAATGATATCGAGAAAAAAGTAATCATGAAAATTCAATAATCTTTAGAATTGAAAAAAAACCAACTGAATATATTAAGAGAAATAAAATAGAATTCAGATAAAGAAAATTGTCCGTCAAAATTGAACACAATGGACTTTCAATACATAGTGAAAAGTAATTGATTTGAAGGAGAAATCTTTGGGTGCGGTCAAGAAGATGGTCTGAATTGTAGAAGAAAAAGATGTCATTACCGTATAATTTAATTGAACCTTCGGTAGAACCAAGTGAATTTCTAGCATAACATTTGAATGTACCAAAATCCTGCGCTGATACATCTCGAATTTTCAGAATCATTTGAGCTTTATATAATCTCTCATTAGTCGTAATCTCATATTTATCGTTACTAATTAAGGCATCCTCATCATCTTTTGTCCAATAGTTGATTGATTTAGGTGAAGCTTCAGTGTTACACATTAATATTGCTTCACTTCCCACTGAGGCAGCAATCAACTGATTTGGTACCCAGATCATTGGCGGAACTGGATGATTATATCATTTTGTGTGTAATATTATCATGATAGTTTTGGTGATGATAATGATGATGGAAAATGATCATGTTATTTTTATTAGTTGAAGCAAAGAAATAGTGACAAGAAGAGGGAGAAAAAAAAGAAGAAGAAGAAAAAGAGGAAATAAGAAGATGGTAGAAAAAGATTATGTAAGAAGATGAGAATGATGATGAAGATTGAACATGAAGAAAATGATATTACTGAAGAGAATGAGAATTGATAGGGAAAAGATGAAGATAAGTGATACATGGAATGAAGAATGAAGATGATTCAGGAAGAAGAAGGAAATAGGAATAAGAAAGAGAGGAAGAAGGTGGTGGTTGTAATGGTGGTGTGAGAACAGTAGGAGGAAAAGAATTGCATGAAATGATAGAGAAAAGGATGGAATATAAAAAAGACGAGAGAGAGAGAGAGAGAGATGATCATTGATCATTGATTTGTGTCAAATTGAATGAACACAGGACAAGAAGTCAAACTGATGGGACAGAAAAAGGCAGTTAGCTTGACTTGCTGATGATTATTATCATGATTATCATTTGGTTTGTTATGTTGTTTTATTAGGTCTCATTTCATTCCTTATAACATGTGTAAAGGGAGAAGAAGGACAATGTTGGTGACCAGTAAGTCATGGTCACTATTATTTGAAAAGAGTGAGAGATTCATATTGGTTATGATTTTGATGGGGATGATGATAATGATAATGAAAGGCGAAAAAAACTTGACAATAGGAACAACAATTGAAGATGAATTTTAGTCAATGAATGACTAAAGATACAACGATCTGATGGAATGAAAATGTTTTGAGTGTTAAGATACAATTCCATTAATCAGAAAACAAGGATTGGGCAGAGTATTTAAGAATCATTGTTAAGGTTAAAAAGATCAAAGTAATCATGATGGGTGATTTGAAGAAAAGAGGTTTCTAAATAACCATCATGTTAGAGTGAGAATATTATTACAATGGTAAGGGAAAGAGAAGGATAAATAGAAAATAGAGTTGAGAAAAGAAAGACTTGTATTCGAGGAGATGTCGATTCTGATGAAGGTTGAGTGGACATTGATTGTTCCTCACTGAACCTCGTTAGGCGTGAGATTTTTCCTTCTTTTTACACAACAGAGAGAAAGAGAAATAAAGTAACAATATGGACTTTCGAGTGGACAATGTTATAACGGTACTAAGGGTGGAAGTGGTAAGGAGGAGGATGAATAAGTATATATTCTTTGATGAAGAGCAAGGAGAGAGAGAGAGGGTGAGAGACAAGATGATGAAAAAACTAATTAGAATTGAGAATGAACATGAATAGAGGCTGAAAATATAATAGAATTGAATGAAAGTGATAATAGTGTGATAATTGAATGTTATTGGATGAAGAATATTAAATCGCAACAATAAAGATAATTAGAACATTATAATCGTTAATAGCGATCCACAGAATGCTATGGATCTTTGAAAACCTAAAATGGGTATGGAATCACGTGAGAAAAAAACAGCTATTCCACTTGTTTACATTTCATCATCTACCAATAATGACCAATACATGTATCATCATCATCATCATTATCATTATCATCAGAGTGATAAAAGGTCAACGTTTATATGTTATTCAGATTGATAGAGTAGGAGGTGCAGGTAAAGATGTCAGGCAATCCTAAAGGTGATGAAAGGTGATTTTGGATAGTTTGTCAATGCTAATCGAGAGATAAAATACTCTGAATAAGAAATATACTCACAATGAACATTCAATATGATTCGATGGGAGACTGATGGTTGGACTCCATTAGTGGCTATGCAGAGATATGCACTCATGTGAAGACGACTTACTTTGTTAATAGTTAATTGTTCACCTTCATACTCCTCAGCTAAGAATGAAGAGAAAAAAGTTCATTAGTATGATAAGGAAATGTGAGTGTCATCATTTGAATTTCCAGATTGGAATAACAAAAACGATACAGAATTTTTTTCTCGCTCTCTTTATCTTTCAATTTTCTCTTTCCATGTAAAACTTTAGTTTTTTTATTTCTACTTTGATGAGATTATGATGATTAATGATTCCATCATTAATTGCTCATGGAAAATGATTCAACTTTATCATGACATAACCATGAAACAATTAGTGAAGCACATAGAAAGAGACACACACACAGTTGATTCTGATAATCATGGAAAAAGATAAATCATCTGAACCTGGCGAACTTTCAACTTTAAAAAGGTAACATTGATTTAAGGTGTTAACGTGATAACAATTAATCTTTCATCTCCACTGATTTTCTTCTTGATTGTTGATCATCATTTTTCAATTAACTCAATAGCTACACATGAAAAGTAAGATCATCACGAAAACTATTAATAAAATGAACATACAGATACATTGGTACATTCATGCGTTTCAATTCCAACACTTTTCGAACCTCTTAATTCATTAAACAATTTCAACAGGTAAAACATCAAATCAAAGTCTCAAAAAAGTTTTTCGTTGCCTGATATAAGTATCGTTTCTTATAACTGTATCAATTTTTATCCAAATAACTCAAAAAAATCTTACATGATACTAACTCGAATCTGCAAAAAACTTTTCTCAGTTTTCTTAAAGCAGGAAATTACAATTCATTGGTTATTTTGATAATGAGTTTCTATTCCAATGAAATCATGATAATTTCTTATTATTAATAGTAGAATGATGTTTCTCTTATTCAATTTTCCATAACCAGTTAAAATATAAGTAAATTTATTCAATCATATTTGGGTATTCAAAATGATTATTCAATTCTGTTATATTATTTACCATTCAGGTGATAACTTTTTTCGAGTTGCAAAGGTGATGAAATTAGTTTTTTCTTTTGCTTCTGGTTCTGGTTTTTCTCCTCCTTAGATTACAATTTATTTAATAGGAAAATAAAAGATGAAAATGAGCAACAATTATCCACCTCATTATCATTATTCTGAACTTTCTTTCAACTTATTTCTCTTCCTTTTTATATCATTTCCCTTTCCATGTAAATTGAGGCTTTTCACTATAATGGATGCAATGAACTTTTTTTAACCTCTGTCTTTGTTGTCTCTTTATTATTACTTTTTGTTTATGTGATTTTCAGGTAAATTGTTGATGACATTAGAATCTCTTTCAATTTAAATTAATTTACCGATGATAATTGAACAGTGAAGCTTAATGTATCTCATGGGTGAAATTCAACTAATCTGAGTAAAGCTCATGGTGATTGGAAAAGGGCAGATGATGAAAGTAGAGAGAGAGAGAGAGAGAGAGTGAGAAATATCCAGTGTATAAAGTTAGGAACTTTTAGAAAAGTTAGTTACTCAAAGATGAAATTCTGAAATTAGATTGAGTTACATGATGGTAAAGGTAATCAAGAAATCTAGTCAAATGTCAAGTACTTTTAAAAATAGAAGCGATAGTAAAAATTATCATCTAATAATTATCATAACCATAATTTGGTGACATTTTTATGAGCTGAATTTGTGAAAAAAACTTTTAAATCAATTCTCCAATGAAATCACTATTTTTATCACCATATGAGTAGAAGTGATATTTAGATGTTGTATTTTATGAATTGAACATTGGTTCAAGAGGAATAGAAATCACTCCCAGTGAAGATAATGTTGATTTATCATTATCTTCCTTTACTCTCAATCTCTCTGTAGATGTTGAGATAAAATGTCAGACTCATTAATCTTAAAGGAAATTAGACTGATGACAATATAAAACTCAGGTAAGAAACTTGACTCGAGTAACATCATGATTGTTTCATCTTCCTTTTAATCATTATCTTTTTTTATTGTTATCCATATCATAGTCATGGTTGATAATATCCTGAAATTGTGATTATATTACAAATGCATCAATTTCATTCATCAAAAAAACTCTGATCATCTGAATCGGAAAATCTGATACTTTCTGTTCAAATTTCATCATGAAAATTTGTTTGAATTCTTTGCAGTAATAATATTCAGTTCTGTGATTTCAATCAGTCTAAAATAGCGCAAAGTTGATGTGACATTTATTTAACCACAATTAATCAACCAGTAACTGCTACTAATCTGGTTACCATCTCATTTTTTATCTTTAACAATTACTGATTTATGTAACCACTGATTTTCATTTAAGTTGTGTTCAAATGTTCAAAACAAGATGATTAATAATTGAACTAATTAACTCTAATGTTTAATGCTCATTCAATCCAACTTTGGATACTTTAATTAACTGTGAAAAAGTTTATCACAATAATCTCAACTGATTTAAATTGTTATTTCATTTCAATTTATGGCTAATTAATTCTGACATGATTAATAAGCCAACAAATAATAACCCTGATTGAGATCATGAATAGAAAACACTTTTCATCAACAAAAAACTTAGAGTGACCTTTATATTCAATGGTCACTCTAATCAATCTCATTTCATCTTCTAGTGGATTACATTTCCTCCTCAACTATTCAGTTACATATCATGAGTTCGTGAGGGGATAAAAAGGTTAAATAGTCTCATTGTTTCGTATCGATTGATAATTTTGATTACTTGGATATTTATTCAAACATAAACAATTCAAATAACAACGTAAAGATTAATGTACAGAAGTTGAAGTGATCCTATCATTATCATTCTGAAGATACATGAAAGATATTGAATGGTAGAGAGATAAGAATCAAATCTATCATGGAAAAATTTTCTTTCCACTTTTCTTCTTCTTCTTCCTGAAAATTCATTGAGATTCAGAAATTTTTTATGTTCCATGTTCTCATATTCCTTAAAGACAAATCTTTTTCCTTCAAGAATGTGACAGCCTCGAGTAATTATACAAATGCTCATATTCATTCAACCTAAAAAATAAGGTTGATTCTTTGATCTCTCTCTCTCTCTCTCTCTCTCTCTTTTCATCCTCATCCTTTTCCAATTCCGCCTCTACTGACTATGACTATTCTTGCTCATCCTTGCACTTGATTAAACTAGATATTTATCTATCCGAGTGTAAATCGACAAATAATCAACAATTAAATTCATTCTGACAACAATTTTCCATCATTCTCAACAATGTGAATACAGGCAACGATTTTGTAACGATCATTCAAACTATCATGATCTTCTTTTCCCTGAATCCGGAATACTTTTCCTTATTGGAAGGATAATCAATGAAATTGTTCTGTGAAAAATTAATCAGAAAATATATTCATGAGATATAAATAAGAAAAGATATTATATTAGGAGAAGCAATTTTCCATTGATGAATATATGATAATCGTACAGAGAAAATGATCCAACATTAATTAAATTGCATCATCATCATCATCATCCTTCCAATCATTTTACTGACCATAATACTGACCATTGCACGAATAGTAATATTATCCTCACTTGATAATAATGATAAAAACTAAACGGTAAAAGTCTCAAAGGTCCTTCTGATAATCAAAGCGAAAAGGAAGCAAAAAAAGTTCTGATAAAGGAAACAATTATTTGTATATAAAATGTAATGATATACTAAATAAGGTTGATAATGTCCTTCGAAAACCAAAACCAAAACGAAGGTCTAAATGTTCAAAAAGTAATCAGGCTGATCAACTTATTCAATTCGAAATATCTCCTAACCAACATCTATACAAAAGAAAATTAAAGAATATCTTTAGTCTAATTTTAAATTAATTACCCATTTAGACTTTAGCTTTTTACCGATTGTCAACAGGATGAACATATTGAACTAAGGAAAAACCACAAAAAAATGGTCTAACTAATCAATCATAAACTGGACTAAAACAGTTCTACTGGTTTATGTTATTGAGAATTCAGGTTTAAATGTATTGCCAAGAAATCTTGAACTCAGAGTTCTCAGAGCTCGTTAATTAGATTGAATTATTCATTTGAAAATTTCGATCTTGTCAAGATTTTAAAATCATTTACGAAAATCATTGTTGGAAGAAATCGAATCGCAACTAGATAGGAAATAACTTTGATAGATACACGTAAAGGGTACAAGGGTTATATTAAGGTAAGAGTTAACTTGTTCTACTGAGTGATCTGTGTGAACTGATTCTCGGTACTTTGTGTACATCTTATTATACAGCCAACGACTTTGGGTTTGCAACCTTTTTCAAATCATTCACGCAGTTGATGATAATCAGGTAAAGATGACAATTGATAGCTAATCAGATGACCATTTTAATAGATTAAATAGTTAATATGAAAGGGAATTTCTTATAATCATATCTCTCGATTAAAATTATCTCTCATTGATTATCTTTACCTGCAAGAATGATTTAAAAAAGGTTGCAAATTCAAAGTCGTTGGCTGTATTTATGACTTTTATACTAACTTAATGGATTTAGTTTCTAGATTAATTATATTTAAATGTAATTTTGGCTCAATCAGTTTGATCTAATTAGCTAGCATATCATTGAAAAATTAACTGAATTTTTATCATTTCATTTGATAATATTTCAATTGCAAAACTCAGGAGATAAAATTCATCTGATGATAAAACAGTGATAGAAACTGTTCCTTGTTTTATGCTTATACATGATATTATCATAGCTGGAAGGCTTTTGATTTGATAAAACTATCACCTTAGCTGTTATGATATTTTCTCTGATATTATCGTGAAATAACATCAAAATTTCAGTGATTCATGGGGAAATTCAAGTTATGACAAATTTATGATTCCATTCAAGTCTCAGGTCATCATTTTTTCACCTCTTCACTGTAAACTCATCTCTTTACTTTTGCACTATTTATCAAGAAAACTGTTCAGCTTCAAATTCATTCATTTATTCATGAAATCATCTTTATCAAATATCATGGTAAATGAACAAGATCATCAACCTCACATGATGAAGATGAAATATTAAAGATTGTAGTTGAGTTATTTTCAATGGAGATCAGGAAAATGTGCTTATAAAGGGGTTGAAAATGATTGATCAAATGACAAATTACCATTTTAAAGTCCTCATGATAGTAAATAATTTGACTCAGATTTCAACATGAAACCTGAGATGTTTGTAATCAGAATTCTCTTGCAGAGAAATGAATGTTAGGAAGTTTTCCAGAAAAATAGGTTCGATCTCTTTATCATTTATCAAAACTCAAACTATTGCTATTGAAGAGCTGAAGTGCAATAATATACAGGGAGTATCAACCAAATATCCAGACTTTTGACTTTTTATTACTTGTAGGTCATATATCAGGTCAGATTTTTTTCTCCAACAGAATAAAAATATGAAACAAGGCCCATAAGTAAACACTGACCTTTCAAAGTGGGAAAGGCGGTGAACTTGGGTACGCAGAAACTAACGGTTATTCAAAATTCTGGATATTTTATCAGCCTCACAATCACAATCAAAGTTAAATCAATAGTCCTTGAGAGCAATGTCATTCACTGAGATGAGGAAGTTCCAATATGATGAATCGTAGGGTTAATTATTATCAATTTGCAATAGTAAATGATTCTTTTTCTTTATTTAACTGTGTCTTTATCATTAGTTATCTTTAGTTATCAATTTCTCTGTAAAGTTTCAGATTCTCAGTTTTATTTGTTCGTTATAAAAATCATTTTTTTCTCTATTACAACAGTGAAAAAATCAATGGATTTAACGACAAATTCTGTGAAACTGATGACCGTCGTGTTGATGATAATAACAACACTGAAAATAATGATGATTGGAAGGGGGAATAAACTTGAGAAAGAGAATGACAAAGTGACCATTGCTTATTGAGAAAATAAGAATCATAAGATAGAGGGAGCAAAAGAAAGAGAATAATGATTATTATCATCCTCATTTTGTCCATTAACTTACGATTGACCTTCTACCCTCATTGGAAACTGGGAGAGTGACCAGTAAGTAGCCTTGAGATCAAGCCCTCGAAATGACAAACCCATTTACCATTACTCTTAATTTTACTTCCATTCAGCTTATTGTTCAGTTAAACTCATAGTGTCGGATTTGTTTTCTTTCACTTTCCATCCTGAAAATCTCACCCTTTTTCCTATTTCCCTCCCTAATGATTGGGATAGTCAAAAGCAAATCTTATTCTTTAACAAGTTAACATGAAAAGTATCGACTAGAAATTCTGATCCTCAAATAGTCGTCATCTCGATTCCCTTTCATATTAAAAGAATTTGGAATTTTACTTATTTGATTCATTCTTTCAATGTATTCATTCAGATCATAGAGCAAAAAAATATATCAATGGTGAGAAAAAATTTCCAAAGCTCATTTGATACTATAGATTTGAACATTGAGAGTTCGGTTGAATAATTGACAAATTGTTGACCTTTGATTGTTTAGAATGAAAAGTTAATTAAAAATCGATTAATTGTAATAATAGTATTTTCATTCATTGAGTAAAATGAATACATGATAGAGATTCAAAAAAAACTTGATAAGTTCAAATTTCATCGGAAAGACAAACTAAATTTAAAAGAGTTGAGCTAAAAATAGATGACGAATATGAAATCTGATTCTTGGTTCTGTTGCAACTTTGATTAAATTCATATTATTATATATTCATAGTCAATATTGAACTTTAAGAGCTGCAATAGAGTAAAAAAGTTCATCATTATCATGGATAATACAATTGAGTATCAATTACAAGAAAGTACGAGAATAAAAATTAAGTAAACAAATGATGCTAATAATGAACCATTGATGAGAAATGTACATGAAATAGGTAATCGGATTAATTTGATAACATGGTTAAGGGCTTGACATTATCACTCCTCCCCTGAATAAACCACAACCTCCTACCAAATTGACTTTATCATACTCATTATCAGAGCTCGTGAATATGTAATAATTGTGGTAATTTCCAGCATGATAATGATTATGATAAGAATGCAAATGACAGACTAGTAAAGAAAAGACAAAGATGATAAGCAAACTAAGAGGCAAATATTATCAACTTGAGTTTATATGGTTAATGATGATGATGTTTGACTTTGCATGATAATAAAGATGATAAAACTCTTATATTACAAATTATTTTGGATGATAAACATTTCAATTCTAATCAGAGTGAAACATTTACATATCAAGATCGTAATCATTATGTTAGTAATCATGGAACAAGAAATAAAGTATAATCAGAGTTTTTTTTCATGAGAAAATCTTACTCAACGATAATCTCAATGAACTTCTTGAAGATTGAGAAAACTTTTTCGTGTTCTTATCCCACTCATTCTAGAAAAGTTCCAAGGCTTCGTTAGATAATTTAAATTCATTGGAGATGATTTTGTTCATTCTCTCATTCTCTCTACATGAAGATCATGTGTGGGGTTTTCCTCATTGGAAGCATTTCTTTCAATTATTTTCTGCTCTCAACTTTCATATGATTGAATAAAACTTATGGTTCGTAATCAAACTATTTCGTTGATTGTCATGATATCATTAAGCTCAATATATATATTAGTCTAAAGTACAATTTGATATTAGGTTAACCTCTTAAATTGTTACGATTTTTTCTTCTTTCTCATTATATTACAAGTAACCTCGATTCAGAACTTTTTATCGACCTTTTTGACTTTAACCAGTGAGAAACAAATTATAGTTACAATTGTTCAATAAACTTGATTGTAATTGCAATAAATTGTAATGATTTACTTTTAACAATCAAATGTAATTGAAAAGTTTCAAGGTAACAATTGAGTTGAATTTTCTTTTCATCTTTTCTACTATTAGAGAGAGAGAGAGAGATATTCAAATGCTGGCATATTCTGCTTATCAGAATCGTCACCTGGTAAACATGATAATTGGTAAATTAATTTCTCACATGTTGACTTTTAGTCTCTCTTTTTTCCTGATTAACAGATAAGAGTAAACCTTTGTTAAGGTTCATTTGTGGTGATTTCAGGGTGAAAATCTTAATGTTCATGATGCATTTAATACACTTAGTTACTGATAAACATTTTCTTTTTGTTACTTTTTTCTCTTTCACCATGAAGGAAACTCTGAAAACCTCTGAAAGTTTGATTGTATTCACCTTGAAGGCAATTGTTATATATTCTGAATTTCATTTTATTACATCATTCAAATTGAATTCACATTTGACTTATGTTCAAGTTTAACTTGTTCATCTATTAACATGATGATAATATTACAATTGAATTGAATTTACATTTGTTATGAAACTTGTTTGTTACTTTGAGTTCCCAAAAGTCAAAACATTTTCCGCATTCAAAGAAAATACTTGCATACCCTCTAGTCTGCTAGATGAGATGTTTCAATGATTCTAGATCGACATTCAGAATATGAATAATTATGATAAAGAATAATAATGAAAATCAAACAAACTGGTTGTACGGTGAATACAAAGTTTAAAATGATTTTAAATGCTAAGAAGATTCTAGAGAATTTAAATTTATCGAGTTAACATAAATTTTGAATAAAACTTTTCATACAAAGTGACATTTCTCATGATCAAATTGAGTCAACTCTTCATATTCTCATGAATGACCAATGGTCAAAAGAATTGAACATGAAGATAGAGATGAAAAAGTTTCTTGAGTTTATCTTGAAACTAATAGTAACTGGATTAAGAAAGATTTAGCTTTTAGGATTGATTGTTTTGGATTGAGAAATACAAAACACAATTAAGGCAATTTAGTGATACAATTGTTGGTTTTATCTGATGAGCGAAAATTTCATGGTTCATCATCGGATTCTCTTGGTTTCTTTTTCCTTAGCTACTTAATTTCATTGGGTTAACCTCACAAATCTCGTTAAACCATTGATTAACTGACTAATTTACGACAATTTAATTTGATAAAATTGAAACAAAAGACGACAAAAATGTTAATCACTTTCTATCCTTTTCTTGAACTGAAAACACAAACAAACAAGAGTCTGAACAAGTTGATCTAGTTTTGTTTTCTCTTGAAATTTTGTACAAAAAGAAATATAAAAGATTTGATACATTGGCTTAGATTCCATAAAATTCATGGGAACTTCATGGAACACAAATCATGTCTAAATTCATTGGAAGAAAAGTCAATTACAAGTTAGGACGATGTTGAGAGTGAGAGAAAATTGAGAACGTAAAGTTTTCATTAGAACGAGAAAATAACATGTAACAGTTATGATAGATGATGCATACTGAGAGAAAGTAATGGAAGGGTGATACTTGATAAAGAGAAAAACAATAGAGATAAAAATGAATCACGAAAAAAAGATGAACAGAAATAACGAAAGGCGAAAAAAGTAACGAAAAAAACAAGGAACAACATGTAAAGAAAAAAAGGTAAGTTCGAAAGAAGGTAAAAAGAGAGCGAGAAAAAAATGTTCGTTGAGAGAAAAAGTTGCAAGATGGAAAAGATGAAAGAATAAGAATCGTAAGAAAAAGATGATAATGTGTCTCGAACTTACGTGGTTGGATTCCTTGATCTTTCTTTTCCTGCCAATTTCCAAATTCAATTGGTTTACCATCTTCTCGTCGCCATGTTATCCTTGGAAGGGGATAACCTCGAGCTCGACATGTTAACGTAGCATTTGAGTTCTCACGTCTCATCACATCGACACTCGTTTCCGATGTTATTATACGAGGAGGCACTTTGAAGGTTTGATCGTAAAAAGAACAAGATAATAATCATGTACAGAAAGAAAAGGAAACATAAATAAGTAATCATGGTGATTTCATGGATAAGATTAAATGATAACATATTCTGAGATAGAAGAGGAGAAGCAAAAAAAAAGTTCCAAGCTAATAAGTTACTTGACGAAAGATTGAGGGGGAAAGAGAATGATCTTAACGGAAATAGGTAAATGTTGATAATATCTCATGTATGTAATCAAAATCTGATCAATCGCTAATCAGTTTGCTGGATAATTTGATTGTTACAACGATAACTTGTTAATATCAAAATTTGTTACTGAATAATTACCATGTTCATGCTGAGAGGTTAATGTTTTTTTCCCTGACAAGTATCAAGGAAAAAAAACTTTGCTACAATTTTCCCAGCGATCAACTAATTGAATATCAATATATTGTTAACCTTTATTCAGGAAAATTCATGTTCATTTACGAGATATTCATGAATTTGAGTCTCTTCTCCATGCTAATGATGTTTGCCTTTGTGATACTGGAAAATTTTATCTTCTTCTGAATAAGTTGTCGAGTCTATTTCATGTATTAATAATATTGGATTCTCGGGAAGAACTTATCTTTTAAAACAATTCTGATTGGCTTTTCCTCTCCCCTGGTTCTGATTTAATCTATTTTTTCATTGTTTCCAATTCTCTCATTGTATTATTCTTGTTTCTCTCCCTCTGTCTATGATTCTGAAATTATTTTCCAACATAAAGAGATTGCACTTGAGTCTAATAGTATCAATGGAATCAAATCTCATGAGATTTCGTTGCAATTTGTTCTAGAACCTTGAATCTTATTCATTCTTAAAAGATTCTCATCAGAACTTTTCATGAGCTGATTTTCTTATAACTTTATTATACAATTTTCTTCCTACATAGGAAGATAATTTATTCACATGGAATTGATTTCCTTTTCTTTTTTTAATTGAACTTGATTAACTTTAGTAAAGACCAATTCTAATGATCAAGTTACAAACAAATCGTTATGAAACATTATCATGTACAATCAGTTGATGATTAACTTCAATCTTAGATTTAGCAGAGAAAATTGATTAAACCAGAAAGTGCAATTATCATCACAGTTAAGTTAAATTGCCCTGAGCAATTTAAACATATGAAAAAATTGATACCAAATAATTGTCACCATTTTCAATGAAATTGATTAGCATAGTAATTATTGCAATTATATCAGAGTGAAAATGACTTGAAGGCTTTCAAAGTAACGATAAGTTTGACTGTGATTCTAAGCTAGACAATAATTTAAATGAATGAACCAGTTTGAAAGAAAAAGTTAATTGGAAACCTTTAATTATCTCAGTTTCTATTATTATTATGATAGGTAATTTTCATTTCATCCAATAGTCTGAGCTTCAACCTTGATGATGTCCAGTCTGATTATGGTCACTGATTGTTGTTTGGAATGCTATTCATCATATCGATTCATATTGACAATATTTATCTAAAATCTTGTTAATATTTCTTATATAAAATGATGATTATTATCTTCATCATTCTGTCATCATCATCATTCACAGATCATCATTCCAACTACTGATATATGATCATGACATGAAACAGTAAAGGTAAATGATTTATTCAGTAGATTGAAATATTAATACAAGGAAAGTGGAGCAAAAAAGTTATCGAATTGAAAAGATTGCAATCAGAATTATTATCATTTTCATGATCAGTTTGATATTTGAATGATCAGTTAGACTCATTCTTTTGTATATATGTTCGTGTTTCCTTCCGAATTCATGATTGGAACTTTCTTTCCTTGTTCAGTTATAATGTTTATTCACAGTGAAAGTGAAGATTAAGATTCAAACTGTAAACCAAACAAGTGAACCTTAACCTTGTATCATTATTACATCTCAAGCGATTATAGTGAAATCAATTCCTGGTAATGATTTGCAAATTTTAATTCTACGTTTGAAAGTAGAAAAATTCATCAGAAAAATCTCAACAACAACAACGAAACCCGAAAAGAATCAATTTGCGACGATTCGATCAACTGACGACAAATGAAAACTTCCGCTGTACCAGTCCATCAACCCTGTTCGTTGGCGATAAAGTCTCAAAATCTGAAGGTCGAAACAAAAAATTTGGAACCCTGAAAATCAAGGCAATCAATTCCAACTCTTAAATCAAATAAACAAAATCCGAATGAAAATCATACACATCCAAGAAATCTTCTTTATTTCCGATGAACCTTCGCCGAAAAGATTTGCGATGGGTTATAATTTCGCATTCAGTCAATCGCCTTACATTTATATACCACCAATTTTATCCCATTAATCAACTTTCATTCGGTCAATACTTCAACTCGACACAAGCAGCTTATTATCAAAGTTCAACGGTGATGATAATTACGACGATGATGTTAATCGATTCATCCAACAATTGCAGTCTGATTCCAGTTCGTTCATCACCTTCAAGATCAAGCCACATCAGATCGTTTTCAGGATTCGACTCATTCTAGACCAAAACACCGACACCATCATTATTGAGATGAAATGAAAAATAAATTAAAGTGACCAAAGACAATTATCATAATGAAGATGATCGGTTTAAAATAATTTAATTGTAACCAAAAGATAAATAAAACTCATTTGCATTAAATGTTTACTGTCGATAACTTATTCCGCGTTTATCAAAAATCGGGTTTCATTTTCCGTGAATTTAAGTAAAAAAAAGATCTTATTGTTCATCGGCTTCTAAATTGATATTATTTCGACCAAATTTAGCATAGAGATCAGTCTTCAGGTTGTTCATCTCTATAATCGATCAACTTCATCTTTCATGGTGGAAACTTCTCGGCTCAATTCCTCCTTCTTCTTGTTTTACCCATTAACACTTCTTCCCGGTGAAGTGAACAAACATTTCACCTTCATGATGTTGAAACCTTCATCATCGTTCAGAGTTGAATACAAGTCCATCTCTCAATTGGTTCTCTATATCAGTTCCTTTTTTGTTAACCAATTCCTCTTTGATCTCTTCTAATTTAGAATTGACAAGCAAAACGATTGATTTACTTTGATCTTCATATGTAACTTGTAAATCACTAGTAGAAGTAACTGCTGATATGATTCCAATTGAAAAAAGTTCCACAATTAAATTAATCTCCAAACAACAACAACAAAACAATCACAGTAAAGAGAGAAAACCAAACCTCTTAATGAAGACAATAGATTTTCAATTCTTCTTCAACAGGAACTTCAAAATAGAAACTAAAATTCGACGTTAATTAATTTCATCTAATATTTAAATTAGAAAACAAATCACATAAATTTAATTAATTCTAATTCTGATCAAATTTTCTCAAATTTTCTCAAATTGAACAACATCAACAAGAAGAACATCAACCCTACCTGGTGAGCGAATTTCTCTTAACTGATCATCTGGAATTTTTTTCACTTTCAATCTTTCTTTTCTAATCAAGTTTTAATTTCTCTTCGTTCTTACAATTAATTAATTGAGATTCCTTTTCATGTCTGTGCCCTTTGGCAGTAGTCGTTCAGTGCCTAAAGCTCCTGACAAGGTAGTTTTCCTCGATCACGATGGTGTTTGTCGAAACCATTAGTCCTTTACCAAATGTCTTCGTGTTAATGACGCTGTTACAATTAATTGTCGAAGAAATTAAGTCTTATTTAAAGTGTAGAATGGATAATGGATTAATGGCTGCTGAAGAATGGAAAAAATTGGGTTTTCTGATGAGATTGATTTGGTTACAAAGATGGAAACTCAAGAGCTGAAGGTTAAACAAAACACCAATGGAAAGATGAACAATCAACAATTGGACAATCAGTTAGAAAGATTGAACAACAAATTGAAAATTAACCCAAATTGATCCTGTTTTAAAAAGATTACCTAGTGATGTATCATTAAAGGAATTAGAAGATATTGTTGGTCTACATGAAGGTCGATGTTGGAAAATTATCGTTGAAAGATACGATGGTCAGGAAATTGAATTAATAACCGATAAAGAATCAACTATTTCCGCTTTGAAGAAATCATTACAATTCTATTTTACCAAACATCTAAAGCGATCAAATGTTAAATTACAAACTAAAATTAGTTGGAAGTGTTTCTGGAAAAGATATGATTTGTGTCTAAATGGTCTACGGTTACTTGACAATTCTAGAACAATCAAAGACTTTGGAATTGTAAATAACAGTAAACTCCATTTTCTAAGTAAAATTAACAAACAATCTAAATAATCTTATCAAGTAATCACAGCCAAAGAAACAAAAAAAATTCATCCGTTTAGTGAATAACAGAATCGGGGTCACCTTGTAAAGTTGTGTAACTAATTGTAATGATAAATAAATTGAATGAATTGTACAACAAAATCGATTCAACTAATTCAGTTCTTTATTCGGAGAGAATTCAGTTATCAAAACATTTAAGAATGTTGATGATAAATGATTTTAGAGAAAATAAAAAAAAAGAGAATCTAAATTCTAATTGTAATTGTGATTGGTATTTTTTTTGGCAAATTTAAAGTTGGCCAGAATTGGTAACTGTGAGCTTCTTCTTGGGTTTTCCACTTTGGGTTCCGAAGCCTTCGAGCTTCTTGACAACGTCCATACCTTCAACGACACTGCCAAAGACAACGTGCTTACCATCTAACCAAGAGGTTTTAACGGTAGTTAAGAAGAATTGTGATCCATTAGTTCCTGGGCCAGCATTAGCCATGGAAAGGATTCCAGGGCCGGTGTGTTTAAGTTGGAAGTTTTCATCAGCAAATTTCTCTCCGTAAATTGATTTACCACCAGTTCCATCGTGTTTGGTGAAATCACCTCCTTGAATCATGAAATTTGGAATAACTCGATGGAAAATTGATCCTTTATAACCGAAACCTTTTTCTCCGGTACATAGAGCTCGGAAATTCTCGGCTGTCTTGGGAACAACATCAGGTCGTAACTAAACAAAGAAAAAAAAAGAAGCAACGAAAAAAAAAGGGAGAAAAGAAAATTTTTTAAAAATTAATGGAGAAGAGAAAAGCAAATTTGTTCTTTCAAAGTCATTCTATATATAGGACACTCCTTGGTCAGAGACCATCATCTTCATAATGACCTGCCCATAATTTTTAAACAAAGAAGAATAAGAGAAATTAAATCAACCAAATTAATAGATTGTTACTTTACCTCCATGACAATTCTGCCGAGATTTTCACCGTCAGCTTCAACATCGAAGAAAACTCGTGGATTAGCCATATTTTTCTTTTCTTTTTCAGGTAATGAGCACAAAACACTGGACTTGGTAACAAAGGAACGGGTAAAGGCGACGTTAACTAAACGATTGTGAAAAAGTGATCTGCAAACCAGACTATTTATCATCTTATTCCGGATACACAATTACATTCACGCTCTCAATCAACATGCTCTTTGTTCAAACTCCACCTGTTGAAGTGAATCGAAACTTCGCTTGTTTTGCGCGGGAAAATTGAACAAAACGTCGAATTTAAATTTTCTAGAAAACAAAACAATTAAACTTTTAATTCATTGGATTACAAAAGTTAATGGATAAATTATTCTATCAGATTTGAGGTGATTATGGTCATTTGGTAGAAATTGAATGAAAATTAGTCCGTTTTCTTTTTTTACTCTTAACGTTTGAATCCGTGTCCAAATGAACCATGTCCAAAGCTTGAGTGACCACAACCCCAACCGGACATCATAACTGGATAAGGAATATAATTATGTTGACCTTGACCTTGTCCGCCCATGATAATGATTGATCCACCAGATCCACTTCGACGATTGGCTTCAGCGACATTGACTATTAAATTATCAGAGATTCAATTAGGATAAAAAAATTATTTTTCTATTGCATTACAATTAAAGGGAATTGATCAGTTAATTGTCTTACCAGAAAAAGCGATGACAGTTAAAATGACACAGGCAAAGATAAAGTTGATTGTTGATGAATTCATGATGATTTGGAAGTTTTTTCAATTTTTTATTATTCAAATTCAATAAAAAAATTTACTGTTGTTGATTAAATTGCTTACAATATGATTGTGATGGATTAGTAAATCAAATCAAATCCTTTTATATACTTTTTGGTTTCAATTAAAAGTTAATTATTCAATATTATCATGGTTGACCAATCAGTTTCCTTTTCAACATCTAATAATTTGATTAACAAGATTAATTAATCTGATCAATACAAGAAAAGGAAAATTAAATCATTTCTAATTAATGCTCATTAGAATCACAGTAGAAGCAAAAATCAACTAATTAAATCAACTGTAGACCCTGAAAAAAAATGATGATTAGTTGATTTGGTTCACTAATCATTTATTTCAAACTAAAGTAAATCATATAAAAAGTAATTACGATCACATCACATTAATTAATATCCTTTTGATTTATTAATTGTTTTTTTTTATTCACTTTAATTACTTCCGATTTTAATTGTGATTACATTTCAATTGCACGAATCAGTAGGGCCAAATTTGATTGACAGGAAATTCAATCAAATTTTGATCTTTCAAAAAAAAGAAAAAAAATCTTCTCTATGTAAATGATTAATTAATTTTCTCTCAAAATTAATTAGAAAATTAATTTTCCAAACAATTAATGGATTGAAAATCGCGCCTCAAATATGGAAGTTGTGGTTAGAACACCAGAGGGCCTTAGGGTCGAAAGTCCGGCAATTGGTAATCAAATTTTTCTGATTTGAGTTTTGTTCAGATTTTTAATTGTGTTGATTTATTGTTTACATTTAGTGCTTTATGGTTTATTAATCATTTAATTTTGTTTAATCACAATGATTCTTCTAGAAATTAATAATAAAACAATTGAAGATACATTAAGTTACAAAATTAGTGAAGTTGAGTAAGTATATTTTTTTCCATTTCTTTCTGAGTAACAGAAATTATCCAACATCATTTATCATTGATGATTTTACCTCTTCTCTCCTCATCATTAGCTTATCTTAGGCTGATAATATTCACACCTAAATGATTCATTTAATATTTTTCTTAACTGCTTGTTGATTGTAAGATAATAATTTCAATATTCTTTGGCCTTAAATTATGTCTCTTTAAACAAACTGTTCTCACAATTAACCTCTTTCATTTCTCTGTCTGGCGGTGTCTTTTTTTCTTCTCTCTTTTTTGGTCTTTCTCTCTCTCTCTCTTCTCTCCATCTCTTCCTCTTTTTTTCTGGTTGGGTCTGAGTTTTGATCATCTTCCATGTTTATGTTTGTCTTTTCATTCGTACTTAAATTGTCCATCTTTTTCTTTTCAGATCAAATTCAAAATTAGAGCTGGTTGATGTTACCTTTGCTGATTTTGATGGTGTTATTTTCCACATTTCCAATTTGAAGGATGACAAATATAAAATAAGGGTTAGCATTGCTCTCAAATTTTATAAAGATTTACAAGAACATGGAGCTGATGATTTACTTCAACGAGAATATGGCTCGTTATTGCAATTACCTCCAGAAGAAGGTTACAATGTTACATTGTTATTTGATTTGAAAAATTTACCCGAAAATCACCAGGAATTAGTTAAGAAAGCTGGACTTTTGAAAAGAAACTGTTTCGCCTCAGTTTTTGAGAAATATTTTGAATTTCAAGAGAAAGGTCAAGAAGAAGGCAAACGAGCCGTTATCCATTATAGAGAAGATGAAACCATGTATGTGGAAGCCAAACCTGACAGGGTAACCGTTATTTTCAGCACCGTTTTCAAGGATGAATCGGATGTTATTATTGGAAAGGTATGTTGAGATCTATTCAACAATTAGATAAAAATCAAGTGGATAACAAGTTTATTTCTATTCCAATGATAAGTAAAAATGTACCACCGGCTTTTCTCTGTATTTAATCGTCCATACAGTTAATCTAATTTAGTCATAGATTTTTATGGTTCCCTTAGTTTTCCCTATTTAGTATAAATTAATCTTAACAATCATCAAGCTTAATATTGTCAGAATTGAATACATCAGCTTATTAGATGATTTACTTTCGCCAAATTAGTCGTTTTATTATTTTGAAACAGGAATTGACTTGATTGCCATCGTTGAAGCAACAAAATCAACAAACATATTACCTTGTATGGTTGTGATAGAGTTTTCTAGTATTTCTCTCTCTCTCTCTCTTTCTCTCCAAAGTAACGGGATGTTCTTGATTAACTTTATCTCTCTTTGTTTTTAAATAGGAAATTGGATATCAATGACTCCTCCAATTATATTTCATTTAGAAAATTTTTCTATTAAATATCTCAAATTTAGGTGGAGATGAAAAAGTCTCCATTTCCTTTTTGTTTTATTATGTTTTCTTATTCGAAAACTTTGGCCGTTTCATTGAAAAGAAATTTTCTTCTCACCACTTGATTGTTATCTTTGTTCCATCATCAATACAATTTCATTTCTTTTAACATTATTTTCATTATTCTCTCTCTCTCTCCCTCTCCCTCTCTTGTCACTTCGTTAGGTTTTCATGCAAGAATTCAAAGAAGGGCGTAAAGCGAGTCACACTGCGCCCCATGTTTTATTCAGTCACAAAGAACCACCCATGGAGCTTCAAGACACCGATGCTCTTGCTGGTGATAAAATTGGCTACATTACTTTCGTTCTATTCCCTCGACATACTAGTAAAAAATCTCGAGATAATACAATTAATTTGATACATATTTTCCGTGATTATTTGCATTACCACATCAAATGCTCAAAAGTTTATATACATTCTAGGATGAGAGCTAAAACTTCAGAGTTCCTTAAAATTCTCAATCGAGCTCGGCCTGAACGTCAGACAGAAAAGAAAACTATTACGTAAGTATTTTAATTGCTATTGATTTTTCTCTACCCATTTATTGCAATCATCAATTATTGGGTTTACCCGTGGGAGGAATCTATCTAATAATATAATTTTCTTTTTTCTTCTCTTCCATTTTATCTCTCTCTCTCTTCTATTCTCATATTACTAATTACCAGAGGAAAACGTTTGTACCTACACCTTATTATCCTGAAATAACCGGAGCATCTTCAAATAAATGAGATTTTAAGGACTCTTTAAATATTTTTTAATTGTGTTGTGAGGTGACAGTGATTCACGGACAAGCTTACAGAAAGTGTCATATAAGGTGGATTTAATTGTTTCATGAATGATAAACAAAAAAGAGATAGAAAACAAAAAAGTTACATATAAATATATTATTTATGCTGAAGCACACACGATCCAGTTAATCAGAGTTTTAAAAAAGTCGTGGTATTGTCACAATCAAGAGTGAAAAATGAAATAATCAAAGGAATATGATAATAGCAAAAAATGATTGATCACTGGCCACATGAATAATTAAGACTCTCGCTTGGATTTACAATATCAACAGAAAACCAATCATCAACCTCATTGAATTTAATGTTAACCAAAATGATTATTATTATTATCCAATCAGTGTATCAACAACTAATCAACACGAATCAATGTTCAACAATCTATTCTCATTCCTTTACAACGATTTAAATCTCTAGATTAAGTGTATTCCAACTGCCCTGGTGTTTATGTGGCTCGAAAAAAAACTGAAAATCACTCAATGGCAATAAAGAGAAAGTTGATTACTTCTAATTAAAATGACTTTTAATTATTTTACACCGTTTACCAGTAACTTTCGCAGAGTTATCTATCGGTTTGGTTGAGTTCCTATTTGAATTGCTCAACTCGATTGACTACAGAATTTTTCACAATTAGTTCTAATTGAACTTGGATTGAAAATTGTTTCTTCTCGGACAAGTTTAAGAAAAAAGATTATATGATTAGATTTCCATGTTGTTGAGAATCATCACATTTGCCAATTTAGCGGTAGATGGAATTGATCGGCAAGTAGTAAGATAAATTTGGGTTCGATCATTTTCCAGGTACCAAATTTTGAATATAAATTGCAAGACCCAATGGACCTGCGACTCATTTTAACATGTCCAACTATAGATTGATCTCTCATAGGAATGACAACAATTCAATTTTCGATGGTAATGGGACCTCTCACGCTCTCTCATAGTGGTACTGCTCGAATGATCCTGTCTTCTGATGGTAAAGAATACCAAACTCAGCGCTTCGATTTCATATTAGCATTCTTCTGGTCCCAAAATTAATCCAGTACTCTGAGCCGAATCGGGTTTCCGGATCCGTTCGTTCATTTCTTCCATAACTTTATCATTTGACATCATTTTCCAAATATTAATAAAATCTCTCAGTGAAGTTTGTTGTGGTGTATCCAATTGAACGTGTTTATCCAATTAGCGAAAGTTGAGGCCATTTTCTTATTTTCTGACAATCCCGTTAGAAGAAACAACTCGGGAACCAGAACAAGATCTTTGGACATCCGTTTATTGTTTTCGATCCGTTGAGTATTAATAGATCGTGTGAAACGGTTGCTTAGTATCTTAAATTTTGATTGCATATTGAGTGAAGTAATGATTGGCCAGTTTCTCCTTTTGCTATACAGTATTCGGAGTAACTCTCACCGAGTTATCCACTGATTTAGTCAACTCGATATATGACAGAGTTTCCCAAGTTAGTTTTCATTTCATTTCTCGAAACAACTAGTCAATCACCTGAGTATTGAGACGAAGATAAATAATAAAAAATGCCCAAAATTCATCAACGATTACAAAAAAAATCGTATTGCTTAATTTACTAATTGTATTACATTTCGAGTAAGATTTACATAAAAAATAAGGTTACTCAATCTAGAGAATTAAAATTTACCATTAAATTTAATCTACTTTCTTAGCAACTTTACCAACCGTTTTAATTATCCCCTTTGACCTAAGATACCGGACAATTATGGGCACACAAGCGGCGGTAATTGACAATCTAATTAGAGCCATACTTTTGTGAACAGCATAAGCAACCACGAAATTGGTTGAAGTGGACGCGGCATCGGACAAATTTCCCAATTTCTTATCGATTCCAAGCCAAGTGAATATTTGATCCATTGGAAGTGAACTGTTAACCAGAAGATAACAAATTCCAAGAGATGCTAACGAAATTGTCACATGGAAAACAACGGCAGTTAAACCATAATCACGAATTAAGACTTTGAATCGGCCTTTTTTATCCTTTGGATCAACAGGTTGATTAGCATCGATTGTCATTTGACCTTGTTGACTTTTCAAGTCATTTCCATGCTCCTGATTATCACCTGAAGACGATGAATGATTTACTGATGATTGCTCCTTATTTCTTGCTACATTCATGGTGTGAAAGTATCGGTTTGTGGGTGACACCAAATTATAATAGATTGACGATGATAAACCTTGAGATGGTGGACACAATGGATTAATTGATTTAATTGTAGCCTCGGAATTTAATTGTTGAGACGATGAATAGGAAAATGATCCCAGTAATCTTGGTAATTTAGTGTTGCTTTGTTTCACTAGAATTGACTGAAAGCTTAAACAACAACCTGATTTGATTATGTATGTTAACCCAAATCTAATCATTATGATTTAAAATGATTCCAATTGAAGATATTGTGGCTTATCAAATACTAATTAATCTTTTAATCCATTAATCGGTTAATCTGTGATAATACAATTAGAAATAAAAAATAAACATTAAAAATCAGCTGTAAAAACTAATGATGATTATAGAGGTTGAAAGTTAATCACCATCAATATTGTTCATCTCTTTTAAAACAATAACAATTAAGGCGATAATCTTCAATTAATTGATTGACACTTACCTTTAATTAAGTGTATTCAACGTGTAAATCCGATAATCTAATTGTGATTAAATAGAATAATGAAAAAGATTTAGAATTGTAATCAAACACTATAATGTAATTGTAATAGAAAATGAAAAAGAGAAAAGGTAAATTAAAGTGAAACGAATTAATCAGTTAATCAGATTTCCAGAAGAAGATTAACTAATTGAGATTAAGGATAAATAAGAGTTAATTAATTGGATAAAAAGCATCGAAACAATTTAATTAACACAATTGAACTAAAAAAGTAAACAAATTGTTGACAACAACAAGAAAAACAAGTGAGACCATATGATCAGAGGGATAACCAGTTTTTTTTGGTTCGAAAATCAATTTTTCAAAATAACAGAGGAAATTAATTGTCAACAATTAGTTTAATTGAATAAACTGACAATCAATAACCTGTCAAAGTTTAATTGCTACAATATCCGGAGCAATTAAATTGATCCGGCCAAGGTTCGAATTGTTTAATTGTTAGTTGATTGGGTTGGGAGTTATGAAAACAATTGAAAATAACAATTAATTGGACAATTGTAAACGCTTGTCATACAATATAACAATTAACTTTTTAATTAAACAATAAGATAACTCATTTCTCATTTATGATTAAATGGTTAATGTTAAATATCAAGTGGGTCATTGAATCGGTCAGTGGTCCAAAAGATTATTCAACTTTCTTGATTAATGATTAAAGAAAAAAAAGTTTTTCCAACAATTTGTTAAACCATAACAAGATAATATTGTTTAGTATAATGGTGACTAAAGTGATTAGATTAACAATCAAGGTAACGAATTGGATTAAAGTTTTTCTGTAGAAATTAAATTATTACAAAATATGATACAAGACAAAGAGGTCGTTTATCATGGTTATCAACAATTAGTTGATTAAATAGTAAATTGTTGGAAAATCATCTTAATGAAAGGATCAAAAGGTTCACGTAGCATAAATTTTTAGACCAAACAATCAAAGTAACGGATTAGTCCAGCTCGAACACCAAGTGGAAAGATAGATCTGATTAGCCTTTTGTATGATCTTTCAATGTGATTAACACGATTATATGTAAATTGTCAGAATTAACTGATAATCAACAATTTGAATTTCGATTATATAAAAAAAAGGGGAGAGAGAGAAAAGTTTGAATATTTTAAAAGGAAAAATGATAAGTTGGACATGAGAACGAGTTAGAAAAAATAAACGCGAATTTTAAAAGTTCAAGGCTGAAAGGATTTTCGATTTGTTTCTTTTCTTGTTTTTAAAATTAACTAATTGTTCCACTTATTTTGTGTTTAATATTCTTTCTTTCCCGACAATTGAGATTATTATCAGCTGATGAATTGTCTCCAGTCTGATGGTGATGATTGTTGAATAATAATCATGTAATATAACGAGTGGAAAATGTTCAGTCGACTCCTCCTTTTGTATAATGGGAGTGCTTGGTTTTTTTGATTCGATATAAAAACCAAAAGTGTTGATCACAATTAGTTAATTGTGTTGACCGAAAGGTAAACCTATTAGAGTCCAGAAAGAAAAAAAAGAAGTAAAAAACTTTAGATTTCCAAAAGTTAACCAATTGTCTTTTCCTTTGTTACTAAAATTGAAGTTAATTCCAAAATGTCCACTCAAGTGATTAACGAAAATTTGGATGATCTTAAAAATGCCGATAATTATACCGGAATGTGGAAAGACCTCTGGTCAGCTCGAGATACTGCTTGGCATTTGACCCATCGAAATCCGTGAGTTTTAATTTTCTTTATATTACCAAGGTGATTTTTGAATGATTATTTATCCTTGTTCTTTGATAATCTCATTTAGAACATTGGTCAAGTACGAACATCTTTTACTCGATGGACGAAAAGGATCTCGTATGCTTTTCCCAATGTGCGGTAAAGTGATCGACATGAAATACTTCTGGGAACAAGGCTACGAAGTCTATGGTGCTGATTGTGCTGCCGAAGCTGCTCAAGATTTTTTCAAAGAACAGCAACTCGAATATACTTGTGAAGATTTAGATGAGAAATCTCGTCTCTACTCGGTGGCCGATAAACGTCTCAATATTGTCCAAACAAACTTCTTGACCCTCGATAAGTAAGATTTCTTAGTTTTCTTTTTGTGATCTTCTCTTTTGATTTGATTCCATGATAATAATTGAATTCTCATCTACAACTTGCTGGAATCTATCAAAATAGTCCATTGATCAATAATACTATCGAATGTGTTTGGGATCGTGGTGCATTTGGAACTATCACCGAAGAAGAGCAAAAACTTTACATCCAAACAATGAAACGACTTTTGGCTCCAAACTTCCGTTATCTTCTATTGGTAACTGAATTTGACGATAAATTGTGGACTGGAGTTCCATTCAGTCAACCAGAGGAAAAGGTTCGCCAATATTTTGGTAAGTTAATATTTCGTATCCATTGAGAAAGAATCCAAATTTTTAATGGGTGATTAACTTTTCCTTCTCCATTTATGTGTCTCTTTCTCTCTCAGGTGATTTCTGTGAAATTGAAAAGCTCGACAGCAAAATTCCCGATCATGTTGGTCTCTATCAAAAGCACATGCAAACACCTCTTGAAGTAAAGGAAACAACTTATCTCCTCAAACCAAAGCAAAGAGGTCAAGCCTAAAGATGAATCAATTGACCAGTAATCGATCCATGGGATAAGTTATAATTCCTATGATGGGAGAAATAAACGATTTTCACCAAAGAAAAGGTTGACATTTGATGTAAACAATTAGTAGAAAACTAGATTGAAATTCACTAATTTGACAATTAAAATATATTCACACCATAGAAATTTACATTTTCGTATTGAATTGAGTTTTTTTAGTCACTAGTTACTCTCACGTTAGTATTAATAACAATCGATTCGGTGCATAATCATAGTCTTTTACAAAAGGTTATCTATGAACTTTTTTGTTTCTATCAATCGAATCGTACCCTTTATTCATAATCTAACCGGTGGTCCTGAATATGGAATTGTATCACACCAATAGGAGCTCGGAGAGTCGATTTGAAGAAGCCAAGTAACGTTGACATTTAGCTTGGGGTCAAAAGCGGTTCCAAGAACAGTATAAAAGTGACAATCTCGTTCGCCATCTTGGTAAGGTGGTGAAAGAATATCAACAAAAGCGGATAATCCTTCAATCGAGGTAATCTCATGGATATTATTCTCATTGGGATAAAGTAAACACGATTCATTTGATTGGGTAACTATTTTCTCTCCGGTCATCACAGTCGGTATAAGAAGATGCCTTTGTCTCCAAGATACTTTTGATGTAATTTCTTTAGGGGTGGTTGAAATTTCCTTAACAGACAATTGAGTGAATGATTTAATCTTAATAGCACCACGAATCACTTTAATTAAACCATACATATCAGGATGATCATGAAGAGGTATTTTTTTACCCTCACGAATACCAAATATTGATATTGAATGAAAATCATCTTCACAAATATCAACATGAACTGTTGGTCCTTTAAGGCCACAATTTTTTTGATCTTCTAACAGGTCACCTTTAAAATCAACATCACGGGCAGTTAAATTTGAGGCCAAATTTCTTAATCTATTGAGCGATTCTTCATTTACCTGCTTGGAAAACGTTTGTTGAGCCAATCGAGCCAAATTTTGTATCAACGAAGTCATGATGATTGTCACTTGTGCTACAACATATAACACAGATTCTATAAAGAGAACATACAACCTAATTAAGATAAATAAGATTATTCTTTTCTCAAAATAAAATTAACAAACAAATTAAATCAATTGTAATGAGTACGAAGTGAAAGGAAATCAAATCAAAACAAAATCAATTGCTGGAAACAAGAGGCGTGGGGTTACCATGGGCAACGATCAACCAAATTTTTCTGTTTTTTTTGATCGATTCAATTTTTGTTTCCTTTGCTTCACTTAATGTATTCACTTTTAATTAATTAATCACTGAACTTAATTTGTATTTAGACGTGAGTATTAGTGTATTTCTAGTGGAATGGTGTTAATTTGTTGGAATCTCATCCAGTTTA